AAAACCCACAACCCACTCTTTTGAGTAATTGAGTTGTCAGCCACTTACCAGCCGTGAGTGTACTCCATTATGAAATCTGCACAAATGTTACCAGTGGCTCTGGAGACTGATTTTTGTGAACTCTTTGATTCATACGTTGTGGAGGAGGTGTTGATGCAGATGAATGGAGCTCAAAATGAGTAGGCTGGACAGATGGGAAAGTGAATGACTGATTTCTTTGATCCTGGATTGCACATGGAAAATAATAGCGGAAACAGTCATGTTACTGTGAGAAACAGCTGAACATGCTCGAGAGCCGAACCAATGGCATGGAACTTTTCTTAAAGTGTTGTTGTCTTGTTGTTGTCCCTCTTCGCTGCTCATGCAGCTGCCTTGCACAATTCAAGCCAATCAGTCTGTCTTTGGTCCTTTTATTATTACCCCACACTTCCTGTTTTGCAGTTGTCATATTGATTCTTATTGGGTGTGTGCGTGAGACACTGCCTACGCGGGTGGTGTGTAGTCAATGTATACATGGTGGTGAGGTAGACCGTTTCTTTCCATGTATATAATTATCCACGACTCAAACTGATAGTGATATTGAAGAGAAAACATGAGGTTTAGAGGAAGTGAAACTGCAGGCTGTGGTGCGGAGCCTCGTGGAACCCTTTCTTACTTAACCACTACATTTACAGAGGGTCTCCAGAGGTGAAACAAAGAGTTTGTAGCAGCAGATGCAACCTCTACCAGTTTTTTTTCCTCTCTTATAGCAGGTGTCACATGAAACTGACTGACTTTGTGACCTTCAATCTGAGCGCCACATCTTTAAATCTACTTTCAAACCACTGTTGAAGTCTCACCGTGCTCCTACTGTACGCCACGTTTGATGTTGCAACTGCTGTTTCTCCCTGTGATGAAACCAGCACAGTGTCCTCTCATCTCATCCCTTGGACGGTTAAAAGCCACCTGTGTCCGAGCCCACATGACGCGCCCACACACTTCAGGTTTGATAAATGGAAAAAAAAACAGTCAATCAGAGAAACTGTAGAGGAGGTTTTTTGTTCAGATTTGCCTTTTTTCATTTCACACATGATTAGGTTCTGCTGTCTTTTCACAGAAGATTTTTCTCAATAATTGACTTGTGCAAGACCTGAAAATACTGAAATAATGAAAATAGTCTCAGTAATATTCTGATAATAAAGATATATCTGCATAAACAACTCTGTCTTCTTGCAGTTATGTTTCCATACTGCTAATACACCACAACAAATATGTTTTCAGAGAACTGCAATATCGCTACCATATTACATTTTCCATACAATATCTTTAATTTAATTAACATTTGTTAAGGTGTGTCTGTAAAACCATCTATCAACATTTGAATTCTTTGGTCTTTTTAAGGATTAAACAAATGACGTATAACATTAACATTAATTACTGAGCTTAAAGGACCAGTGTGTTGGATGTAGTGTCATCTAGCAGCAGGCTCATTCTAAGGTAACAAAAAACATAATTCTTGTTTTTAGGTGATTATACACTGATGAAAACATGAATATTATATCCTATTCATGTCAACAGATCCACTAAATGTTACACACTGGACCCTATAAGATATGCAAGTTGCCAGATTTTGTTACCTCTGTTTTCAGCCCTTGAGTGAAGCTAAGCTAACCGGCTGCTGGCGGTAGCTTTGTACTGTACAAATTACTGATAATAATAATGATGATAATTTTGGCCTTAAAGTCATAATCAGTATTTTTATAATAATGTATAAAATGAAATTGTGACAGTGTGAAAGGTGTCGTTCTAGTGATGAACCTAAGGAGAATTAGCTAGTAGTAGCTCCCCTCATTTTAAGCTCATTCTTTAGATGTCCAGGCCGCAACCATGGTTCACCCATAAAGTGTTGGTTTTTACCACAGCTGTAAGTATCTAAAGTACAAAAAAAAAAAAAACCTGTTTGCTGAAAGTATTGTGTTCAAAGCTTGTTTCCGCCGCTGCCAAGGGGCCGGAAAAAAATCTGTTTTGGCAGTTTTAAAGTAGTTTTGTTGCCACAGGCGGAACTAAGGATGCAAATGGATGCTCTGTTGTCCTTTGCTTTGTACCCAAACGTCCTCCATATGACTTGTGCACAGTACAAAAACTTGTACTTCCCACACTAGAAAAAAAAAGTCGTTACCTAGTTACATTTGAAACCTAATGCTTGCAAAACTCTACCTAACCAGTTGACTGAGGCTCTGACCAAGCCTTGCTCAACTGTTATTGGGGCACAGAGGAAAAAGGGGCAGGACTTAGGAAGAGTCAATTATGTAGCCACAAAAACATTTGTATATAAACATAATTTCAAGGGGACCAAATCACAAGATCTCTTTAAGGAGACTTGTAATTGAGTTATTCTGAGCTAGTATATAATGGGCATGTCAGTAAACCAGTATAAAAACAATCTGCAAACGAGGCAACATTGAGCTATTTTTATCCTGTTTGTCTGCTTCTCAAATTAAGCTGAGGGCCATTTGTTTTTGCTGCTGCAGTTAAAGCCCCTTCTCTCTATCACTGCTGGTGGCTGATATTCAAGTTTCAATTAGCGGAATGTGACTTAATCCTGCCACGTTATCCCTCGCCTTTACAGTAACATCGTCATCTCTGACATTCAGCAGGCCAGCCGTCCCTCCTCTGACTGTTTCAGAAACCCACCAAACACTGCTTGAAAGTTATCAGCGGATGTCAGACATACTTTGGGAAGTGGTAGAAACTTGGAGCAGATTGTGTTTTTCTCCCTCCAACACAATCACATTCCTCTGGGCTGCTTAGGAGAACCAAGGCAGCAGGAGAGCCAATTTCCCTTTTAAGATTAGTTTGTGCCCTGTAGATTTTTTCGCTTGTCCTTCCACCGAGTTCCCATCATTACGGTTGCCCCCATCTTTGGGTTGTGGCTTTACAGTACGACCTCTGCTCGTTGCTTCTTTTCTTTTTTTTGACAATCCAAATGCATGCTTCTCGTTCCTCTGGGGGATCAGCCTCTTTTAGCTGACATCTACAGCAGCAGGAGGCCGTGAAGGATTCTGTGAAATGAGGCAACACGTGTGTGTGAAAGAGAAAGAAAAGAGAAAATTGGTGCACGTACAGTGTGTGTGTACGTGTGTGTGTTAGCGCTGTGAGAAAGGTAGAGGGGACGGACAAATCCATGCTACTGGCTTTATTCGTCAGTGACTTCACCACAGAAACAGCCGGCAGCACAACAACAGGCCGACACATTGCAGTGACACCTTTAGAGGTCTGGGACACACTGTGCAGGATGTACTGTGTGTGTGCGTGGGTGTGAGGGGGGGAGAGACACACACACAGAGAGATAATGTAATGGTAATAGTGAGAACTATACAGTAGAAGAGATCAAATCTAAGAAAGGAGGCAGAGTTTGAAACTGGGTACATTTTCATGTGCTCTTGCGCTGGTTTTCCCTCAGGCTTTGACAAGCTCTTATACCTTCCTGCTTCCATGGCGCGGTTTTACCCAAGTAAATGTTGAACTTTGTCTCGGTCTGAGAGTGTTCAATTCTTGCTATTTGAGAGAGTAAAGAATTTAATTCTTATATCTTTATACAAGTTTTCTGGTATGTACAGTATGCATGTTTTTTCCCATTACATTCTGAATTATTACACTGTAGAACTTGAACAACATTGGGAATACCATACTCTAAATAATCAAAGGCAGGGCTGCCCTTTGCTAGTTGACTTGTAGCCATTATTTCAGTCGTTGCACATTTATGATATGAATTCAGTTATTTATTTTCTATTTTTAACAGCTGCCTGTTAAATGATCTGTGAAAATACCACAGCTGTACCTACG